TTGAGAGCTACTCAAATGACATTACAACTAGCCGATAAATCCACTACTCGTCCTCACGGTGTAACGGAAGATGTGTTGGTTAAGGTAGACAAATTCTTGTTTCCCATAGACTTTGTGGTGATTTATATGGAAGAAGATGAAGACGCTCCCTTGATTCTTGGAAGACCTTTTATGAAGACCGCTAGAATGGCCATCGATATGGATGACGGCCTCATGAAAGTGAGAGTTCAAGATGAGGAGATTTGTTTTACTCTATTTGAAGCCATGAAGCATTCGAAAGACAAAGATGATTGTTTTAGAATCGATGCAAAGGAAGAGGTGATTGAAGAAGTAACAAGGCAATTACAAGTTTCTACACCATTACAAAAAGTTCTTACAAATTCTCTTCAAAGTGTCAATGAGAATGACGAAAAATAAATCGAAAAGTGTTTGCGAGAACTTGAAGAGTTGGATGAGATTCCTCCCTTGAAAGAAATGGTGGAAATTTTGAAAAAGGAAAATTATGAAGAAATCAAGCTTGAATTGAAGTTGTTTCCCTCCCATCTTAAATATGTGTTTCTTGATGAAAAGGGGCCTAAACCAGTGATCATAAGCAAGTAGCTAACAAAAAACGAAGAGGACAAATTGATTTGTGTTTTGAAAAAGAATCAAGATGCTATGGGGTGGACTCTTTCCGATTTAAAAGGAATAAGTCCTTCCTATTGTATGCATCAGATATTCATGGAAGAGGATTTCAAACTGGTAGCTCAACCTCAACATCGCTTGAATCCTACTATGAAAGAAGTGGTTAGGAAGGAAGTGGTGAAAATGTTGGACGCCGAAATGTTCTACCCAATTTCCAATAGTCCATGGGTTGGCCCAGTGCAAGTGGAACCAAAGAAAGGAGGGATGGCGGTAATCCAAAATGAGAAGAATTAGTTGATCCCTACAAGAACCGTGACCGGATGGAGAATGTGCATTGATTACCGCAGGCTAAATTAAGCTATGAGGAAAGACTATTTCCCTCTTCCGTTCATGGATCAAATGCTCGAGAGACTTTTCGGTCAAGAATTCTATTATTTTTTGGATGGTTACTCGGGTTACAATCAAATTATTGTGAACCCGGAGGGCCATGAGAAAACTGTTTTCACTTGCCCTTTTGGAATCTTCGCTTATAGGAGGATGCCGTTTGGGTTGTGTAATGCGTCGACCACTTTTCAACGGTGTATGCAAGCAATATTTTCAGACTTTATTGAAAAGTCAATTGAGGTGTTTATGGACGACTTCTCGATTTTTGGACCATCGTTTGATCCTTGTTTGAAAAACTTGGATATGGTATTGGTAAGGTGTATGGAAATCAACTTGGTTCTTAATTGGGAAAAATGCAATTTCACGGTAACAGAAGGAATTGTGCTCGACCATAAAGTTTCTTCTCAAGGCTTTTAAGTTGATCAAGCTAAGGTGGACGTCATTGAAAAATTACCATATTGCCACCACAGTTGAATGTGAAGGGTATAAGGAGCTTCCTTGGTCATGCGAGATTTTATCGGAGGTTCATCAAAGATTTCGCAAAAATCGCAAAGCCTTTGAGCAGCTTGCTCAACAAACATAAGTCTTTTGAATTTAATGAGTCTTGCATGATAGTTTTTAATTCTTTAAAGCAAAGTTTGACCACCGCACCCATAAACATCGCTTGTAATTGGAAAATTGATTTTGAACTCATGTGTGATGCGGGTGATTATGCGGTTGGTGTGGTGCTTGGTCAAAGGAGGTCAAATTTTTTTTATGCTATACACTATGCGAGTAAGGTTTTAAATGAAGCTCAAATAAATTATGCCACAACAGAAAAATAGCTTCTCGCGATAGTGTATGCATTGGAGAAATTTCGCTCTTACCTAATTGGTTTGAAACTTGTGATTTACAACAACCATGCGGAGATTAAGTATTTGCATACCAAGCCGGATTCAAAATAAAGGCTGATTCGTTGGGTCCTTTTGTTACAAGAATTTAATTTAGAAATTCGCGACAAAAAGGAATACGAGAACTTGGTGGCGGATCACTTATCCCGCCTTGTTAATGTTGAGGTGACCAAGAATGAAAGAGAGGTCAAGGAAGAATTTTCTGATGAAAAGTTGTTTATGGTGCAAGTTGAACCTTGGTTTGCCGACATGGCAAATCACAAAGCCGCCAGATTAATACCGGAAGGTCTAACTCGTACCTAGAAAAATAAATTTTTATCTAACACCAAGTACTTTGTTTGGGATGAACCATATTTGTATAAGTTTGGTGTCGATAACATTTTGAGAATGTGTGTGTCGAAAGAAGAGGCTAATAACATCCTTTGGCATTATCACAACTCTCCATATGGAGGGCATTTCAATGGTTTGAGAACGAAAACAAAAGTCCTCCAATCGGGCTTTTATCGGCCTTATTTGTTTAAAGATGCGTATTCGCATACACAAAGTTGTGACAAGTGCCAAAGGAGTGATGAAATTTCAAAACGGAATGAAATTCCGTTGCAAAATATGCTGGAAGTTGAGGTATTTGATTGTTGGGGCATAGACTTTGTCGGCCCATTTCCATCATCATTTTCTAATGAATACATTTTGGTCGCAGTGGACTATGTGTCCAAGTGGGTTGAAGCGCTAGCTTGTGCTAAAGCGGATGGAAAAACTGTGATAATTTTTTTTTAAAGAAAAATATTTTTTTCTCGATTTGGTACTTCGAGAGTGTTGATAAATGACGGAGGATCCCACTTTTGCAACACTCAGCTAGAAAAAGCTTTGGATCAGTATGGTGTCAAGCACAAATTTGCAACACCATACCATCCACAAGCAAATGGGCAAGTAGAGGATTCTTGAGAAAACGGTGTCGGCCTCATGAAAAGATTGGGCAAATAAGCTTGATGATGCTCTGTAGGCCTATCAGACAACTTTCAAAGCTCTGATTGGTGTCACACATTTCAAAATGGTCTATGGTAAAAACTGTCATCTAACGGTAGAGTTGGAACATAAGGCATTTTGGGCCTTAAAATTTTTGAATTTTGACCCAACTTTAAGCGGTGAAAAAAGGAAGGTATAACTGCATGATATGGAGGAATTGCGCCTTCAAGCGTATGACTCCAACAAGCTGTACAAGGATAGAGTGAAAGCTTACCATGACAAAAAGATAGTGAGCAAAAAATTTAAGGAAGGGCAGCTGGTCTTATTGTTCAATTCGCGATTGAAATTGTTCCTAGGAAAGTTGAAATCTAAATGGTCTGGTCCATTCCAGATTAAGGAGATCAAACACTATGAGGCGATTGTAATTGAAGACACATTGTCAAATAAGAGTTGGACTGTAAATAGTCAGAGGCTGAAGATTTATCTTGGTGGAGATTTCAAGCGAAATATAGCCACCGTGCCTTTTTGCGATCTTTGAGGTCACATTGGACCGTCGAACTCAAACGACGTTAAACAAAACGCTAGTTGGGAGGCACCCTAACATTACAAGTATTCCTTCATTTTTACTGTTTTTATAGTGTAATTTTGTGTAGGAAAGGTTGGGGTAGAATGTGCTGAAAAGAAAAGAAAATTTCAAAAAAATCTATCATATTCGCCTTAAGTTCACTAGGCGAACCTGGGGCGAATGTTCGCAAAGCGAACTGAGTCTGTTTAATCAACTTGTGTACCACGCGACCAAACATCAGTTTCTCGGTGCAACAACTGAGTCTTTTTATGTCCACTCCTACCATTGTGCATATGCAGGCTGCTCACTGAAATCTAAAGTATATCAAACAATCTTCTTCTTAGGGATTGTTCTTTTCCTCATCATCCACTTTCTAGCTCAAGGCTTTCAGTGACTCCGACTAGGTCTCTTGCAGTGACACACAAAGATCTATCACTGGACTCTACATCTTCTTAGGAGATTTTTTGATTTCTTGAAAGTCAAAGAAGCAAATCACTATCTCTCGATCTTCCTCGGTAGTTGAATACCATGCTCTTGCTTCAACCGTTTGTGAGTTACAATGACTTAATTACAGATTTCACGACTTTCATGTCACTTTCATCACACCTGTGTTACTTTATTGTGATAACCAACCGGCTCGTCAAATTGCTTCCAATGCATCCTTCCACGAAAGAATAGAATAAATTGAGATTGATTGTCACGTTGTTCGTGAAAAACTTCTTGCTAAGTTATTTCAACTGTTACTCATTCCATCTTCCGAACAATTGAATGACATGTTCACCAAACCTCTAGACCCTAAACTATATTCTCTCATCATGTCCAAACTTGTAATCTCTATTAACTACGCTACAACTTAAGGGATGCTATTAACACATATTCATTGTAATTATAATTGGGAGGCTATTAACACATATTCATTGTAATTATAGTTACCTCAATTAGTTAGAATTAACATGGTTAGTTATAATTAGTTACTTTACTCTCAAGCTATGCTCTTTATATAAATACCACTCTTTTCTCTTCATTAATGTTAAGGCAAATGTCGATCAAAATTGATAATGAAATCACAAAATTGATATTGATATCACAACTCATAATTAGAATATTATGGTCTAGTCTCTCTCATAAATTACTCACAACACTTTCTCCATATTTATTATTCTCCATAATCACCAAACCAAAGTACAAATTTAATGCAACATGTTTTTTTGTTGAAGAATTTAAAGCAACATATGATCATGTCACATACAGTACCTAAAAGATATAGTACCTAAAAGATATATATAGGATATGAGGAGGGCCAACTTTTTCAAGTAATAAAGCCTTTTTTTCTTCCTTTTCAATTTTTTCAATTTTTAAATCATACTATTAACTGGCAAAACATATTATAAAAACACATAACCTACTTTTTCTCAATCTCCTATTCTTTACTTTCTCATATGATGCACATTAAAGTTGACATTAATATAATATAGTAAGAAAGAGATAGAAGAATGTGAAGTTAAATAGAAATGATATTGTAATATAGTCTTGTCTTCTCTCCCTCCTCTCATTGATTTTCCTTCTCTTCAACAATGAATGTATCAAACATAATTTCTTGTTTCAATGAGAATGCTGTGAATGTGTCATATTCCTCCTCATCATGTTCTAGCTATTCAAACAAATCTTGTTTATCTCAAAACCTCACACCTTCAACCCAAAACTCAGTCTCATCAACCTACAAAGCAATCCTCTCCAACAAAAAACAGATGCTGATCACAGTTACTTGGAGTAGAAGCTACTCAAATCAAGGACTCACAATAATCTTCAATGAAGAAGAAGATCCACTAGCTGCAAGAGTTTTCAGACTCAACACAAACTCAAGGCTTTTCAGAAAGAAAAAAGGAAGCAAGTTGGTTGAAGTGGAACATACTCATCATGGTTCAAAAGTTGAAGTCTTTTGGGATCTTTCAACTGCAAAATATGAAACTAGTCCCGAGCCTGTTGATGGATATTATGTTACAGTTTTAGTTGATTCAGAATTTGGTCTTATCTTAGGTGACAAAGTTGAAGAAAACTTAACAAGGAAGCTGAAGAAAAGAACTTTTTTAGGCAAAGTTTCACTTTTTTCAAGAAGTGAATATTTTTCAGGTAACACAGTTCATTACACAACTAAAACTAAGTTCTGTGAAAGTGGAACATTTCATGATATTTTGATTAGATACAGTGGTGAAAATGAAGGGTTTAAATCACCTGTTTTGAATGTTTACATTGATAAGAAGATTGTGATTTGTGTGAAGAGGTTGAAGTGGAATTTTAGAGGGAATGAAACCATTTTTGTGGATGGTTTGTGTGTGGATTTTCTTTGGGATGTTCATAACTGGTTTTTCAGAGGTGTTTCTGGTTATGCTGTGTTTATGTTTAGGACTAGGAGTGGTTTGGATAATAGATTGTGGTTAGAGGAAAAACTAGAACTGAAAGATAAAAATAGCGATGAGTTTTCATTGTTGATCTATGCTTGTAAAACTATATAAGAAAATTTCATTATTCATCTTTGTTTATTTTTTATTTGTTGTGAAAAGGTAAATTGAGATTGTGGATGGAGTGGTTGAGTTGCTTTTGGCCTTTACAGAAGAATAAAGTTGAGAATCTTACAAATGAGCAATATCTTGACCAGATTGTTTTTTATTGCACTTTTTCAATTTTGTTTGTTGCTGTTCATGTAAAGTTGATAAAAAGTACTGTATATAATAAGAATCCACTACACAGATAAATATTTTTTTACTACTTTAAAACAGTGTACTACTTAAAGATGTATGTTTTTTTACTCATTATAGATATATGGTAAAAACATGTGATTTAAATAGGAAATAAATATTTTATTTTTATTTTTACAGTTAGAATTTTGAAAAATACTAATATGTAATTATTTTTAGTTCTTGAAAAAATACAGTTAAATATTTATAGTTATTAATATGTGAAAAATACAGTTTTTTTTTTTTTGGAAAGTGTTGTAATATGGTCTAGGAGGGTGAAATAAAAAATAAAGTGAAACTCCAACAATATCTATCACAATTTAACTGATTCTTAAACTCCACCATAAGAGTGAAACTCTTGTCGACAAAAACAATACATCATATAGGCAACAACATATACACCTAGCAACAAAGTCATATCTATTAACCCCATAACTAGTAGAATAACAATTGTATATGGCATAAAATTGGCTATCAAATGGCTATCAAAAGTATTCAACATATGAATAATATCAAAGTTATGATTAAAAAAATAGTGCAACATCATCATGTATTGCATACCATAAAAAAATTGTTACAAGAGGAACATGGATCTTTAATTTGGCATCAATAGTTCCACCTGAAAACAAAATAATTTTGGTTATATAACAAAAACAACTATATATAGAATTTAAAACTTTATGTTATTGAATAAATTATATACTATACCTATTAAATGTTGTGAAAAACCTCCTTGAATACAACGTTAATAGTACTTGTTGTTGCAATGTTGTCTTTGTCATTAATCAAGATTTTAAGATCTTCTTTAGTCTTAACTTGAAACATTGCGACATACAATTGACCATGACTAAAAATATCCTTTGGTAGATATAAACTCACATTTTCTAAAGATTGCCCTTGTGATTTATTAATTGTCATAGCAAAAGAAACAATATTGGAGGATTTTCTTATTACTAATTTAAATGACCATGATGATTGTGACAGGGACAAAGACATTCTAGGAATGTAAATGGTGTTACCTAAATTCTTCCCATAAATGATCTTACCTTCAATGACATGATTAGCAAACCTAGTTATAGTTAGTATAGTTCTATTGCATAATCCTTCAGAATGATGCAAGTTCCACATCAGCATAATAGTGACACTAACCTTCAACTTGATCAAATGATTAGGAAAATAAAAAATTCTCAGAGCATTTAGAAATTCAGGAGTCAAATGCTCAAAAGTATCAAAGTCTGTAACTACAAATCTATCAATAGAATCACTACTAAAAAATTCTTTTTCTTCTCCTATAAAATTAAAACAACATAGCAATGACAAAGAAAACTAATGCAAAATATAATGTATAGTATAGTAATATCATTAAAATAATGAAACAACATGTTTAATACCTGGAAGAAGATTTGTGATGTATTGATTAATGTCATCGTCAACCTTAATTGTTGAAGCCAATATTGCACGAATTTGCAGATATTTGGGATCATGGTAGTTATGAATGAGATCGGGATAGGTACTCTAAACAATAGCCTAAATTGGATTTTTAAAATTAGAAATTAGAAACTCATTAAGAATTAAAAGGTCAACATAACCATCGTTAGGCTCAGACATGGTACCATCTCTAATTTTCAAGATCCATTCTGAAAAAATAGGGACCTCATCTTGGTTAAAAGTATTTGCATCACTTTGTAGACGCATGTTTTTTGTAAGCCTGATGACTCTGCACTCATCTCAAATGTAAGAAGCATTGATTGTTGCATGAATAATATCAGATCTACTACCTCTTGGGACAACAAGCAGAATTTGTCTAAAATCACCATAAAAAACTACTACTTTGCCTCCAAAAAACTTCTCTTTTTCTTGAGGAATTTCACTCATAATGTCTTTCAAAGAATTATCAAGAGCCTCAAAGCGAAACTTGTTTACCATTGGAGCCTCGTCTCATATAACAAGATCTGTCAATTTTAAAAGCTCAATAAGATAATCCTTTTTGTTAATGTTGTAAATGGAAGATTCTAAAGTAGGAACATGAATCTTAAACCTTGAATAAGTTGCTCTACCACTTGGTAACAACAAACTTGCAATCCCACTTGAGGCAACATGCAAGACAATTTTTCTTTTAGCACGAAGTGCAGCTGCCAAAGTGTTTCCCATAAAAGTTTTACCTGTCCCACCATAGCCATATAAAAAAAACACTCCACCATTTTGTCTTTCTACACCTTCCATGATTTCAAAATAAATGTGTTTTTTGTTCTTCTACTAATACCAATGTTGTGACAAAATATTTAGTATGGCATTGCCTCCAAAAATTGTATATAAGAATAAATGAAATAAGACATCGGGTAGTAAATGATAATGAAGCTTTCATTGATATTTAGGGCACTATAGTATAATGACATATAGAATAAGTAATATATGTAACAAAGTCATAAATGTTGACAATTCATATATACCTTTAAATTTGTATGCAGGATGGAAGATTTACCTGTAAGAGATGAGTACAAATCATTGAAAGTTGTTTCTTGAGCAATTGGATCATAATTTCTCTCTTCATAAACCATCCGATTTCCAACAAAAGAAAGTGCAAAATTAGTTGGATACGACATTGACTTGATGTCTTTCAAATTTTTGTTGTTCTTTTGTAACTGAGTTTCTATTGCAATAAGGGTGAGTTGTTTTATTTTCTCATCAGTAAGTGTTAATCCTATGATAGAAAAAGGAAGAAACTTTAACTAACAAATTGAAATTCATAATAGAATCAACCTTGCAAATAAGTTTTCATAAAAAGTGTATATGGATTTTTGGTCAAAACACGTTTCTCGTAAAGAATACCATCAGATAAGTATTGCCATGTATTACTCCAAACATGCTCTGGTCTATTCATTGATGAGGATAACAACACAGTAACAAATAACTTCCTTAAGAAAACACCAGACCCTCAAACATGCACCACTTTTATAGCATCAATAAATTCTTTATCATCTTGTAGAAACCCCATAGCAAAACATGCTTCTCTGAAAGTTTTATGCTGAAAACCATCACTTTTTTATGTCGTCATAACTTATAGGTCCTTTCTTGACAATCAACATCAATCTTAAATAATGTAGTTCATCTGTGCTTTGAGGAACGCAAATAAGACGACCAATATTATACTCTCTCTTCCCAGGCTTCCAAGTTCTGCTCTATTTATGATAAACAAATTTAGAGACAAAGTCACTATATGTCACCAACTTAGCTTCATCATAGATTTTGTTTGCCTCAAACCATGATGTAAACATAGATTCAGTCACACTTGGTTTAAGTAAAACATTTCCAATTTGCTCAAAGTCTTTGTAGAAAACATAATTCTCTTCTTCCATGAAAAAAACAATCTCTTTATAGCTGGTTTCCTACCGTGTATGAAATATGAAAAAATCCTCCAACATGCCTCACTTGGGGAGATGTAACGACAATCTAGATATTGATTGATTTCATCCATGTTCTTCTTCTCACCAATTGCATTATCATCAGAAGAATGAATAACAAAATAAATTTTATCAAAACCTTTGTTGATATATTTGAATAAGTATTTGATAGAAGTACTCTGATTGCATCATTCCATGTTGATGTGTGCTTCATACTTCAACAATAAACTTGGATTGTGTGGAACTACATGACCACTATGAAGGATGATTCTATTTTTTTTCAATTGTGTGTCCATTGTCTCTTCTCCTATAAACCGAATAGCCATCTTGATCAACTAACATTGTAGCTTGAAATTTATTTGGGTACTACTTGAAGCATTTTCCACCTTTCATGCAAGGTGAATTTAGATTTTCCAAAACGCAAAGGCCATGAACCATATGAGTTTTAACCAAGTTATGTAGCTTTGGATCCTTCAAAGAATCTGGCACTTCAACACTAATTATCTTGTCGATATCTTTAGGTCCTGGATACTTATTATAAGGATACAAAATATCAATATATGTGCATGCGACAACCCTCTCTTTTGGAACTTAATGGTGTACATATCTACAAAAGTGTATGAAAGTAATAAGTTACTCTAAATAAAAGCAAACAAATTGAAAATTAATTTTGAGAAATAAGAACTTATATGTAACCACTTTGCCTAAGACACCCTTCTTTGTTAAATCTGATAGAAGCTGGTCAAACTTAATTTTAAATATCCTTGATATCACATCAGGACGATCTTGCGGTTTAAGATGAAGTGGTCTTATTAATATTTGGATTTTAGGCCAATTAGGATTGCAAATGAAAGTTATAAACAAATCAGAGAACCCGACCTTGCTACAAATAGCCATACCATCATAGTACAACTGATCTATAAACCTCCTTCCACCTACATAGGTAGAAGGAAAAACCACTTGCTTTCTTGTGGTTTATCCAAATGCATGACTTTGATCACCCTTTTCGTTTAAACATTTGTACTTTGAAACCCTTAGCTTTGGTTGATTTTCACGAATCCATTGTAATCTTTCCGACTCTAACATCGTGTAGCCATCAACCAAAAATTGTTGAAATAGTCTTCTTGATGCTAATAAAGTCTTTTCCTCGCTAGATCTTCTCTGAATGCGAAATGATAACCACTCTCTTATTATAAGTTTGTTTCTCTTGTTTTCCCGGAAAATGGCTAAGTCTCCATGAACAATGTTAGACCTATCACCATCTTCTCCATAGGGAAAATCAAAGGTTACTGATAAGCCAAGTAGCTTGCATGGAGTTCATTAATTCTCTTTAGTTGTCCTCCTGTAGTTTGCATGATTGTATCCCTCTGCTATGTA